GTGCTTATAGTCAGTTTTCACAGGCAAGGTTCACGTATATTCTATCCTCTTAAGACTTTATTTTATAAAATTATATATGATTCGTGATTGTTGGCGACAATAACATAGTCAAGATTTTTGTTAATAATAATATAATGAATGTAATTTTATAATTGAGGTCTCTCCTGAAAGAGAATATGTAGGCAACATCGCAAGCTTAACCCCAACTTCCCGCCCAGCCACGTTGTGGAAGTTAGAGTTTTTCAATAAATTTTCTGCTTAAGTAAAACATATAAAAATTAAGTATGGAAAAGAACTGAATTTAATATCTCAAAATTAAAACTGAATTTGTTTCTTTCTGTCGACATCCTGCAGTGTACTATAGGTAACTACCGTAGCAAATGCACGTATTATTTCTCTTGTATTTTTTTATATTTGTTCAACTCAATTTGTTGTGTAAATATATTTTCTCTCTTTTGTTAGTGGTAGCATTTTTACTTTAAAGTAGATAAATGACTCATTTATCCACATATCAAAAAGTTAATGGAGCCTTACACACCTTTTGTTGATTGAGCCTCATAACAAATTTCACTACTGTATACTAATTTATTTTTAATGATATCATTTTCGAGTTATTCAGCATTAATAAAGAAAGTAATTAAAAACAAACAATACATTTATTAAAAAATGAAGGAAGTAGTATTGTCTTATTAGGTAGTGTTCAGATTAAAAAATATACATCCACAGTTTACGAGGAAAAAAATGTATGGTAAAGTATAATAAAATAATAGTATTGTTTTTGTCATTTTCTTGTTTATTCCTCAAAATGATTTAGTTTTGGAAATGGGATTTTGCTTTACCCAAAGTATCAGACATGCTCTCCCAGCTCATCTCTCACTTTTAAAAAATATAATAATAATACTATACTGTATGATCTGCTTTTATTTTATAAAAATCAATATAGTTTAAAAAATATATATATATATTAAGAGAAAAAAACCTCTAATGTGAGCTCCTAGAAAGCTACTCGTGTTGTTCTCCACAAGTCTCTTTTTTAGATTCCATTATTAATTTACCATTAAAATAGAGATCTCTTAGCTATTCATGCATGCATCTGAGTATAGGGATAGTAATGAGGCTGTGCGGGTGGGTGGTGAGGTGGGTTTAAGGTTATGCGGACGGAGTGGATCAATCTCCGAATGGAGAGCGGGGCAGAGAATATATATATGTATATATATATAGAGGCTGTTTTAGTACAACTTTCATTTTATTTTAAGTGATTTTCTAGCCTTTTTAAATTGTGTCAAGTATGTTATTTTTAAGAAATAAAAAAGTTATTATTTTCTTTTTCTTCTTTACATTCCTGAGAAAGCTTCTAGAACTTTATTACATTTTCAGTGCATACGTCAAAGAATCTTTTAATAAAATAATCAACTTAATGAATGTTATTGATTAATTGAGTCATGACTTTCATGATAACAAAATATTTATAGCTAAGTTCTTTTAAAAAATATGAGAGTTTGTTATCTTAAAAATAATAGTACATATCATCTGCTTTACAGGTAAAACAATCTATTAGTATATAATTAAAAAAATCTACGCTAACGACATATTATAATGTAAACTAAAACATTAAATCGAAGATAGTTTGTAAGCAGAGAAGTAGGGAATTCCAACCAAATGAGCCTGAGTATTGATAACGTTTAGGTAGAGAACGTTTTACCCCACATGAATTTATCCCGTATAAATCTAAATTTAAATTCAAATTAATCGAATCAATAAAATTTACAAATCAGCTAGTTAAAACAAATTAGTAATACAGTATACTCACAGAGAAAATCACGAGGAGGCATAGAAGTGGGTCCGATCCAAAGCTAAAATGATTGAGCAAATAGAGGACCTACTTAAAAAGCAGAGCAGTATGTAGTCATATTATGCATGACAGCAAGAGAAGAGAAGACGATATTTCATCCGTTAACTTTTATTTATTTTATTATTTTAGAATTTGATTTTTACTTTTAATAAATTAAAAAGATTTTTTAAAATTTTTACCCTCAATGTTTTTATTTATTTCCTTAATTACTATTCAAGATTTAAAAATATAAAGTAATTAGGAATGTGTAAAAATGAAAGTAAACGAGTAAAAATAAATGGAAGAAGTAGAAAAGAAACTAAAGAGAGTAGGACTGTCATGTTGCGTTGAGAGACAATTCGAGTTTCGCAGAAGAAGTTAGGAAACAACTGCATACAGACAATTCCAATAACCCATCGATAACGATGTGTACATCACCCTTACCATTCTACCTTTTCACATTAAATTATACACATCGATAATATAAAGAAAATAAGATATATATATATATATATATATATATATATATATATATATATATATATATATATATATATATATATATATAACTAGGTTCTTTGAAAGCATATTTAATTGCAAGTAAATCAGCTTAAAATGTAGGATTACAATTGATAATAAGTCAAATTACTTGCTTCAAGTTGCAACAGATAAAACCGACTTGAGAAATGATGTCATGTAAGATTTTCTTATATTGATGATATAAATATATAACAGAAACTCATAGTATTATTAATTATAACCTATAGTTCATCAGTCCTTTGCTTTCTTTCTATTTCATTTAGTTACGAGCAAGCTGAAGTGCATTGCAAAGATTTGTACCCCCAATAAGAAATTTAACAGACTAAAGACATATCTAGAATTTGTACTACTATGTTTAAATTTATATGACACAATTTTTTTTAATCGGTTAGATATTCAATATTTTATTCATATTGAATTTTACTTATTTAGAAAAAGTCCATGAAAGTGAACTTTTCTATTTAACAATTTAATTATTTTAAGAATAATTTCTGGAACATGATGAAATCTTTTTATTTTTCTTAAATTCATACTGAATCAATTATATTAATATAAATTGAGAATAAAGAAAATAATTTTTTTTTAAATGAAATAAAATTCAAAGCGTGTGGTCAAGGAAATTGCAGTAGAAGTCTAGAGAGGAAACTGATGTGGGGACCAACAGTAGACGTGGCCCATGCCGTATTCCACATTTCAAACCCCATGCAAATTGCGTCCGTATACCTGTTCTTGTCCACGCTTAGCTTTCTTCATTTTTTTTTAAAAAAGAATAATAAAATTGGTTAAACAAAATAAAATTTGAATTGTTAAGTAATGAAATCATTATTATTATCTTAAGTAGTATGTTTAAAAAAAGAACGTCTTTTCCTGTTTTTTATAATTTTTTGATTCAACTTTTCACATGACATAGTTTAAACCATAAGATTAAGAGTCTATTTGGATTAGCTTACAGAAAATAACTTTCAAGTTAAAAAAATAAAAAGTTGGGAGAGTCCAATATTTAATTTTAAAGTTATTTTAAATTATTTTAATTTGTCACATTCTCAAAAGCTAAAAATGACTTTAAAATAGATTTGACCAACTTTTAATCAATCTTCTTTATTTTCATAAATTGTATGTTAAATTAAAATCAGACAAACAAACTAAAACTAAATCGAAAAGAACTATATTTTAGCCTTTACATTATTTACTAGCCAATAATTGATTGGGAAAACTAAAGAACCCTAACAAACTTAAAATTTAAAGTAAACGTGCTAATATTATAACTAAAATATTAGCGCCACCTCTTTTATTATATAATATCCCAAGTTTCGATAGGTTTGCATGAATTTCCTAATAGATTGTAACAATCCTTTTATATATGCTATTTAATTTACACCTTATGACAAAAATATGGTGATTGATAAGAGTTCAATATATATAATGAAGAATAGGTCACAATTTGAAGAAAAAAGGTTTTACTTGTTACTGCGCACATACCTTCAAGTTGACTAGCTTTGTAGCTCATGCTTATTAAAAAGAGTAGTCCCATACTCAATTATTTCCGTATATAAGATGTTGACTCCAACTTACGGAGAAGAAAATTGTCATTTGCCTTGGCTGCTCATTTTCAACTTTTCCACACCGTCCATTTGTTATTTATCTTTTTTGGTCCTTTTCTTCACCCCACAAAATTTCTATTTGTTCCACTCTTTTCCATTATCAAGGCATGTTAAAACTTGAAAAGACCACGATACGATTCCTTTCATACTACACTCCAAGAAATTTGCTACTTAAATATAATTTTTAAAAGTTTGGAAAAAGAAAGATAATTGCAAGGTGCTAGAATGCCATTGAAAAGGAGAAGTATTTATGTTACTATTTGTTGTTTCTTATACACTTGATTATCGCAGTATGCTTTGTCATGCTTTCTAGTATTTTGTTTTCCATTTCATCATTTCTTTTTCCAATTTACTTTGAATTGTTTTTTCCTAAATCGAGGGTCTATCAGAATAAAAAACCTCTCTACCTCCTAAGATAGGATAAGGTTTGCGTGCTTTCTACTTTCACCAGAACCCACTCATGAAATTACACTAGGTATATTGTTGTTCCTTAGTATGTCATAAAAACAGGGGTGGAGCTAGGGGAAGCATGATGTTCATCTAAACACCTTTGCCGGAAAATTATATTGTATATTCAAGGTCAATTATTATTTCTTTATGTACACTAAACGTCAAACCCCAGTAACTTCTTATATATTTAATTCTTCATATTTTGAATTTCCGTGAAGACACACATAGGAGACAGAGTCAAGACCATGTTGATCAGTGCGTGCACAGTAAAAGAAACACAAAGAAGATGAGATAATTCAAAATATATATGGTTGAAAATAATATTCATATTGAATTTGCAGTCCTCATCCACCGTCACAAAGACATAATGATCGTGGATGCAATTGTATTTTGGCGTTTGCCAGCTGCTGACTTAAAATCCTATATCAATCTTCCGATACAAATAACATCTCCAATTTATGCTTGTAAATTGTTTTGGTAATCAAAGTGCGACTATTTTCCTTCAACATAATTGAAACTAAAATATGCATATGCAAGAATTAGTGGGACTTCACATTGACCCCAAAGAATTGTTGATGCAAAATTCTGAATGATCTTCATTTGTTCAGAAATAATAGCTAGGTTTGTCGAGTCAAACCTGAAAGCTTATAAGCTCACGGGTACTCGAAGCCCATCATAGCTAAGTTGCACATCGATGCCTTCTGTTTCCCTCAGTTTCAGTAGCCTTTCAGTAACTACTTCATGATCCATGAGATGCATCATGCCTTCAAATCACATCAAAACATGCGCTCGTTAGCTGTGAAGCAGTTCGTGATGTGCATCAAATTTCAATCACTATTTGATGTATCGGCATTATAATATTGGTATTAACCAAGTCATTCATATAATTGTAGTGTAAAAATCTTCCTCAAAGATAAATCATAGCTCTGGTATTTGAAGATTAACTATGGTCTAAAAGGCACAAGATGAAGGAGATACTGATCGAAAGCCTAGCCTATCATGTGTACAGAAGTAAAATAGAAAAAAGAAAGAGCCAACATAGGCATGCATAAAAAATTGAAAAGAGAACTAAAATAGGAAAAGAACAAACCAACATACCAGTGAAAAGTGTTCTTTTTGGTTTGATTTTCCGCACTTCCTCCAGAGCCTTCAATTGTTATTATGGAAATGTCAATGACAGAATGTATAATTATTCAACTGTTAAAAAGCTCTTGATACCACTGCCTTCAAGCCATCCCAAAAGAGATTAAAAAATAAAATCAGAGCTCACCCTTGGAAGTCCAAAATGTGTTGCAGAAGATCTATCTGGTCTCAAAGCATCCTAAAAATGTGAGGAGGCATTGGTTAGTTGGTTTAGCATTTAACATTAACCAATTGCTGGATAAAGGATTGCATAGTTCAAAGGATTAGAGAGAGAAAGACCAACCATGATAAGGAGTTCACAGTCCTGTAGAAGTGGGTAAGTTTCTTCTGGTATATCACTTACATCGCTAGGAAAGGCAGGTTGGGGTAGGAGAGAAGGAAAATGTTAGTGACTCAGGTTCATGCCTGCTGATGAAAACTTCAAAATCAGAGAATAAGGTTTACCTGATATAACATGTATTCCCAAATCGAAAGCCCAAAGAACGATAACCGGAACCATGCCACACTGGTAAAGGAATTACCTACTAGGGACCATGGGAACCATGGGAACCATTAGGCATGATAATAAACAAAGCCATGATAACTAACCATTTAAACTTATAATGCACAAATAATCAGAAGACCGATGGAAGGATTAACCAAATTGTGAAAGAGACAACGATAACTACAGAAAGGCCAAGTCAAAAGAAGTACATGCACACCTTGTACATCATATTAGTGTTGTACAATTTCTCTATCCATATAGCAAGTATATAGGTAACAGGTAAGCATGACATTTCTTAAACAATGGGCTGCTGTTTTCTTATCCTTGTGTCAGTTATTAACCACGGATTCATGACACTGGCAAATTTTTTGCCTCTCACTGCACCCTCCCTAAGATGCTACTCTCATTAGGACTTTGAGCAATTGGAAATTAAATGCATTCCAGTTGCTACCGGTCAGGCGGTCACAACAATTTAGATCTTAAATCAAAGTCTACACTTTACAGTTTCATTGCCAAGTACTCATGTTTTGACGTAAAAGGATTACCTATACATTTTTTAGTAAGAAGCTAGGATTCCAGCCAAACAATAAGTGCAAAAATATGATCCCCAATAAAACAAGAGGGTCAAAAAATCACTTACGTTGGGAAACAGTTGCTATAGACATAGTAGCACATCCTTTAGCAATCAAATATTTGCAAAGGTACTAATGAGTCCAACTAAATCAACTAGTAGAGTAAGAAGCCTCAACCTTAAGATCATGTACAATGAATGGATCATCCTTTATGATGTTAAATTGCAACTCTGAGACTGCAGCTCCCGGGATGATATCACTTTTGTCTATCAAATAATAGTGAGTTTTCTTCATCACCTAAAAATGAAAGAACAATTTACAAATTCTGAGCTAATAAAAATAACATTTTCTGGAGCAAGTTGCTATCTCAGAGTGGCAAAAGAATACTAGTGAACTATAAAAAAAAATATAGTAACTTCTGAGAAATTCCAGCCAGTAGCTGAAAATAAAAATCCTTCAGCAGAAGGACATGATTCAATATTTAATGATTGTTGGATAGTCCCTTCAACCTAGCTTAGTACTTCAATAACTATGTATCATCGTGCATTCTTGCAACCTGGTTGTCATATATATAGAATCTGCAAGTCGAATCTTTTTATCTAGGACAAGTTCTTTGTTTATTTATAAGTTTCCTTGAACTTGCACTGCAATTTGCTCAGTAATACAAAGTAACACATGACTAAGGTATTAGCTATCAAGAAAATGATAAAGGCTGAATGAATTCAATTCTGCAATCACTCAGCTAACCAAGAGATGCTAAAAATGAGATGATGCATTATCATTTAGTGGCACCAATGTTTGTATCTGTAGCTTCATGATGAAATATCAAGCACTGCATCTAATGAATTTCAGAAGAACTCAGACCTCAAAGTCACGACTGGCCACATAAATAGGAATAGAGGGCTGGACATTGTTAGTCCAATCGCGAAGATCATCCATACCTGCAGGAGTGTGTGCACTTTGCTTAGATATAGAGAGAAAGGAGAACTTTTGGGGGGTAGGGGGGTAGGGTGCACAGAATGGACAGGAAAAGACATATCCACATTGCACTAAGTATCACAAGGGATTTTATCAGAGACCTCCAATTGCATCAGCATGAGAATGAGTAATAATGACCGCGTCAATTGTTCTTATCCTGACACAGAAAAACTAGACTCGAGTAAGTCATACGGATCATAAGCAACAAGTTATGAAGTTTTTTACTTTAAAGGGCAGAAAGCCAATACTTCAAAGTATCTAATTCATGAAAGGGAAAAACAGAAGGAAACAGTTAATCCTAGAAGAATAACACTGAAATTCTGTTGTCTCGACCATTTAACTTAGCAAGTTCAAAATCCTCTTCAAACTATATCTCGGAACAAGCTTATAATTCCAACCTCACCTACTGATTCTCTCTTGTACTCTTCACACACTCAATAGGTCATGAAAAGCTTCTGTCAGAAAAGCAAATAATGGAAAGAAGTTCATAGGCACTATTAGCAGAACTTCACCAGAAAATGTATTAAATGAAGTTTTCCTAGATACAAGTATGTCCCACTCACATGGAATGGAACAATAAAGCCATTTTGAAATATTTGTTTTTTCCCTTTGATAAGCAAAATAGGAACCAGATAAATAATCTTTTAAGAGAGTTATAAACCTTTTAATCAAAACCTAATGGTCCACAGGGCAGTAGCATCCCATTTCAACATGCTTGTAAAAGCAAACTCTTTCATCACTCGAAGACATCACACAAATATCATGACAGATTCAACCAAAAAACCTATGTAACATACGGTAGCTGATCTAATGATGTGGTTACAAAAGAATTCTACTACGCGATGACGTGGAGCGGCATCAAAATAATCACAATTATTCATAACATGTGTAGGTTCATAGTTATCTACTTCCCTAACAAGATCCTCAAGGAAAAAAAGTACTACTAGCAGTAGAGTGAGTTTCCCAAGACTGGAATCTAGGAGGTTGACGTATGTAGCTTTAACTTGTTTGCACAAAAAAATTCTCTTCTTGCTTCATACTAGCAACAGCTGAAGTTTATCCATTTAAAACACATTATACCATATATATTCAGAGTAAAACAAAGTAACATATGAAGTCAAGTGGAAGTGGCTTACCCATAAGCGGGAAACCATTGCATAGCACTATGGTAGAAGAACCTGGATCGCACAAAGAGAAATGCTCTTAGACAATAAGGAACTAGAATCTAATGATTTTTGTTTTCCCCACAATCTATATATTTATTTGGAAAACTTTTGGGGTAACCCAACATGAAGCTACGTAAGCATATAGTTGAATCAGGATTAACTAAGTTTACTGAACAAACAAAATACTACCCCATTCCGAATTAAACAACATCAGTAAGATTCTGAGTTATCTCAGAACTAACAGAAACACAAACGCATTCACAAAAAATTATGATCTAAAAGTCTCTAACATACTTGCCAACATCTATAAGAAAGTTACGATTGCCGGAGGGCCTGGAGTGGCGAATAAGGATGCTGGTGTTCAGTCTCCTATTTCTGCTACCCGGTTCGGCAGCTTTTGAGCACACCTGTAATAGAACATTAACAAATCCATATAGTCTAACCACTTATTGTAATTCGAAAAACTACACTAAAACACAAACAAGGATGCTGTATTAGGTTTCTCAGGCTTACAGGGCACGTCTTCAAGGGGTTAGTGAGACAGCTCACTCGTGGAATTCCTTCACTTGTTCCTGTTCCCAAAAATATTAGCTCAGATTGATTTGCAGATACCTCAGCTCCATTCTGAGAATTTGCAGAACCTGTAACATGATTAAAATTACTACCGACGTATGTGAAGAATCTAATGAACTATACTACCGTTAAAATGACCAAAACTTAGCGAAATTTATTGAAAATTTGGGAAGATACTTACTAGAATGAAGAGAAGCTGTGATGATTGGTTTGAATCGAGAAAAACTTTTTCTAGATATGGAGATTGAATTGTTATTGGTGAAAGAAAATTGGCGAGTGAAACGAGTGATAGAGAAGAGTGAATGGGAAGGAGGACGAACAATTCCGAGAAACACCGCCATTTTGGCTTGTGATTTTGCAGTTCCGATGTAACTCCGGTAGCTAAACTCCTCGCTCCGGTTTCGTTTCAACTGTTAGATTTGTAAGAACAAAACGGTTGCAAACGAAAAATACAGGCTGGGTCAGGAGTTTTGAGTTTCGTCGATATGTGGGCTCAACCTCAATTCTCGTTCTGGGCCGGCCCTATTAGACAAAGTCGGGGAAAATTTGGGAGGAGACACTTTTAAAGTAGTTGTTTAAAATATAATCAGTGTTTTAGAAGTATTTAAGGCATAACCAATAGTTGATTATAGCATGTTTGAACCATCTGATAAGTGGTTCATCTTGGCTTCCACTTAACACACGTTCGAAGCATCTTAATCTTGCTTTTCCTACTTGTCTACCATCAAAATTAACTTTTTACCGTGTATCTTTTCCTCCTCTAATTCTTGTTTGTTTATGATCTTCATTTGAATTTTGAATGGCTAACTTTTAAAGTTAAATTGAATTAATATTACTTTATTTTTGAAATCTAGAAACTAGACTGAAGTCATTATATATATTATTATTATTACTACCTCCGTCCACTTTTAATTGTCATGCGATAAGTACTTTGACTAACATTATATGATGTATTTTTTCATTATATTGATATCCAAAAAATTGCAATTTGTGGAATTTTTCATATAGTTTTTGAATATCTAAATTTTTAGTTTAAAATATTGAACTAATGTAATCAAATTTAACTTTGAAAATTAGTCAAATTGACTTTCGAAAAGCGCAACATGAAAAAAATCTAATTTTAGTTCTAAATATTAATTAACGTGATTCTCGAGAAGAGAAAAATATCATATAATTGATACGAAGAAATATTAAATGGTGCCCTGGTGGTTGGTGATGGAATGATTTTCACCCAGTGTGTAGAATTGTGTAGAATTCCTTGCAGTGAAAATGGTGCATTTTCTGTGGTCCTGCATTATCTGAATACTTTTTTACAATTCAAAGTGAAGTAAAGGTAAATAGTCTATTCCTAGTTCAAACAACTTCAGAGGATTCAACACATTTAAACTTTAAAGCCAAAATATTAAAAAAGGAGACTTTATTTAATAAGCTCAGTCAATAATTCAACTAGTTTGTCATGATCAGTTGGGCACCTTCATGGTCGCGCGAATCTAGAATTTAGAATTTATAGGTTTGAATTTGAAATTTTATCGCAACCTATTTCCTGTTTCAAATCTATAAATATATGTATTATTCTTTGAAATTAAACACATATACAAAGTATGAGTCAAAGTTATTAGATTCAGATAACTTGCAAGGCTATAACAATCATATACATAATTTTGTATATTTTTTGTAAGCATTATCAATATTTAAAGAAATGTAAAAAAAAATAATGAATAAATCACTATGATAATAAACGATATCAAACTTTATATATGTTTATACCTAGTATTATCTTTTTTGCTTAGTATATGAATATAATACATACGGCAAAACTTTTGATTAAGCGATGTCTCATAACACCACTTGAAGCATGTATATCCACCCCAAAAAATGTTGATTAAGCAGTGTCTCGTAACACAACTTGAAGTAAGGTATAATTACCCGAAAAATGTACACACTACTTCTGCCCCTGTCTACGACTTGGAAGAAGTAGTCATGGACACATTTGTCCATTCTCTTCTAGATTGGGCCTACACTGATGCAAAGTCATTGGTCCAGTTTTTCTGTTTACCCGTTCAGGCCCAACTTGAGATATGGTCTCTGCGTCACTGCAAGTAACCTTCCATAAAATTGCACGCTTTGCTCTTCAAATGGATTGACTTTTAATTATTGCTCTTTAAATAGATTAATCCGTAATTCTTGTCCGTTAGCAATTGAATATATGGCTAGTGAGGCATAAATCTTTTAAAACTAAAGTCATATCCGGACATAACTTGTGAAATTTTATAATATGAATAAATAAACTTATGTCCCATGAAAAAAAATATTTGTCACTAAGTGTAAACAACCCCGGTAACTTCTTCCCATCATTAAAATAACGCGTGCCAAGAAGAATGGTCCATTTCACTTTTCAACTTATGTACAACATATCCAAAAACCAACTTTGCACATGGCAAAAGTTAATTTATCAGTCACCATGTCTCTAACAACTTCACCCACTACTAGTTGATCAAACTTATATATAGATATAGTTGCCTCGAAGTAGTACGTAAGTAATTACTTCAACTAAAAGATGGGATATGCTAGTAGTGTTTGGCTTGGAGTTTTGGTATTCATTTCAATTCATGGCTATGGCAATATTAGACTATTTGAAGCTTCTTCTCGTGTCATACAGACACCCGATCAGATATACCGCACTGGTTATCATTTTCAACCTGCCAAGTACTGGATGAACGGTAAGTATTCGGAATATCACTCATTAATCAAAAAGACATTCAACTAGGAGAAAAGATCGATCCTTCTAGGATCATTTCTACCTTGTGCCATATAATCCTAATTCTTTTTGTTGTTTTTCTTATTTTGTGTTGTCACGTGCGACTTCACGGTGATCAAATTTACAATTGTTGGTTTTCGTTCCGCAGATCCTAATGGTAAGTTTCTCAAATTACTTGTATTTTTTCTGTGAATGTGTTTGGTACGACAAAAGTCATTCAATGAAGGTCGCTATAATTATGCATGCAGGACCAATGATATACATGGGGATTTACCATTTCTTCTATCAGTACAATCCTTACGATGCACAAGCAGGTAACATAGTATGGGGCCATTCCACGTCGACCGATCTCGTCAACTGGACTCCTCAGCCGCCGGCGCTTCTCCGATCAGAGCCTTACGATTTCAAAGGCTGTTTTTCCGGTTCTACAACTCTTCTCTCCGGCGGAAAACCGGCGATTCTCTACACCGGCGTAGATTTCTCCGATAACCAGGTACAAAATCTAGCCGTCCCCAAAAATTTAGCTGACCCGTACCTCACCGAATGGGTAAAATCGCCTTATAATCCATTAATCGCACCGAATTCGGTAAACAAAATTGATGGACAAAATTTCAGAGATCCAACTACTGCTTGGCTAAATCCTGACGGAAATTGGAGAATGGTAGTTGGAAATCAACAAAACGGGAACGGAATTGGCTTATTGTATAGAAGCAAAAACTTCATTGATTGGATTCAAGCTGAAAATCCACTGCATTTTATGAACAATTCTGGAATGTGGGAATGCCCTGATTTCTTCCCTGTTTCAACAATCAGTCAAAATGGTTTAGAAACTTCCACAATGGGTCCAAATGTGAAACATGTATTCAAGGCAAGTAAAGCAAGCACTGATTTCTACACAATTGGTACATATAATCCGAATAAAGATATTTTTATCCCGGATAACAAATCACTGGATATTGGATTAGGATTTCGTTATGATTATGGTAAATTTTATGCATCGAAAAGTTTTTTTGATAGTTCTACTAGTAGGAGGATTTTGTTTGGATGGATTAATGAATCAGTAAATAATCTTGAGACGAATAGTATTAGAGGATGGGCTGGTCTTCAAGGAATTCCTAGAAGGATTTGGCTTCATAAATCTGGAAATCAGCTGCTTCAATGGCCGATAGCTGAAATTGAAAAGCTTCGAATGAATCCAGTTATTGAAGATACTACTGTGCTTATGCCTGGATCAGTACGTGAAATTTCTGGAGTCAATGCTACGCAGGTAAAGAAATTTTTTGCTGTAAATTTATTTTTAACATGTTTCAAACAAGTAATCCGTGGGCGTGGCCGAGCAGAACTTCACGGATATCTCATTATTTTTAAAGAGATTCAAGTCCAAGGCACAAATGTAATGTCCATCAATAAACATAACATGATATATTAATATTAAAATGTCACACTAACAATTTTCTATAGGAAATTGCTTATTGACGAACCAAATTTTGACGGGATATCGTCAAACGATCACCAAAGCTTTAGATTCCTTCTGTTTTTAACTAATTGTAACTATGATTTGGCTTACAGGCAGATATAGAAATGTCATTTTCAGCTAAAACGTTGGAAAAGGCAGAGAAATGGGAAGCAAATTGGACAAATCCACAACAAGTGTGTAGCATAAAAGGTGCATCAGTAAAAGGTGGGCTTGGGCCATTTGGGTTACTAGTTTTGGCATCTAAAGACATGCAAGAATATACTGCAATTTTCTTCAGAATTTTCAAAGGAAATAACAACAATTTTATAGTCCTCATGTGTAGTGACCAGACCAGGTATATTTGATCTCTCTTTCACTATTAATCGTCAGTGTAAGAAATTTTTTATGCGATCGAGTAATTTATAATACCTTTTTTTCTTAATTAAGTATTCATTTTTTTTTTTCATTTTTGTAGGTCTTCCTTACACTTGCCTTCTAGTGATTATGACAAAACAACTTATGGGGCCTTGTTGAATGTGGATCCTCTTCAAGAAAAATTGTCTCTCAGGACTTTGGTATGTTTTTTTAGTCATGATAAAATTGTATACAATTCAAGGTGTTTGGTATGATAGGAAAATATATTTAAGAAATAAGTTACTTTCTTATAAAAAGAAGAATTGCTTGAGAAAACATTTGTACGACTATCAATCTTTAATCTCTCTAAACATTTTCTAAATGACTTCCGTTATACCAAACACATTCTCAGTTTCAACCGGAATATAATGAATATGTTTTGTTTTATTTTTGTAGATTGATCACTCAATAGTGGAGAGCTTTGGTGGAGAAGGAAAAGCTTGCATTACAGCTAGGGTTTACCCAACTAATTTAGCAGTGGATGGTGCAACCCATATGTATGTCTTCAATAATGGTTCACAGAGTGTTGGCATCTCAAAATTGACTGCTTGGAGCATGAAAACAGCTCAAATCAATTGATTAAATCCAACATATATAGATTTATTTTCTTAATTTGATAACATTATATTTTATTAATAGACTATGTAATCTGCATATTGTGACACACGTATTCGAATAAACTGTATTTCTCTTAAAGTATTATATTTGTGTAGCACATGAAGTATGTGTTTAGTCCGGTCCAGTAGCGAAGGATATAGACTGAAGGGTGGTCAGTTGAACACTTCTCTTTAAAAATAATAATTAGATGGTATATACAAAAAAAACTATATTGTGTATATATATAAGACAAGAATTACTTAATATAGGTAATTACTTTTACTATTGAACTATTACATAGGAAAAATCTTCAAACTATTGGTTGAAAATAAGACGCACAAAAGACCAAACCAAAAAAATCCTACAACTTTCTTGAATTATTGAACTCTACCTTCTGAATTCGCCTTTATGCGGATCAAGAGGACAACACAAAACAACAAATTAGCAAGACCTAGTACAAACAAACAAAAAAAATAAAATAAAAATCTTACAACATTCTTGAACAATTCAATCAGGGTCAATATTTGAACTTCAAATTCCGAATCTACCTCTATTCATGATCAAGACGGCAACACAAAACGGCAAGTTGGACAAACCCTCTTTACCCCTAACCAATTCATCAAACAATTCCCATGGTACACATGAGAACAAGGCATTTTTGTTGCTTCACTTCCAACCTCCATCTTTTCCATACATATCACACACACAAAATCACTTCCCAATTCTGTTTCTTCAATTTTCACTTTCTCCAAATTTTCTTCAACCAATTCATTAGCAGGAGGAATTGCCTCATCACTACTTTCATTTTCTTCAATAAAGTAATTAACAGGAAGGCTAATATAAACTTTCATTGGCAATATTTTCTTGTTCCTATTATAAGGTTCATTAGCAATTCTATCAGCAAAAGTACATATTTGACGTAATATCATTGGTTGTCTATGTACCGGCACTTCCATTATATGTAACATTCTTGTAACGTTATGCCACGATAAGTTGTTATGGGGCAATCGATCACATCGCTCTTGAAATATTCCGATTTTAATAATGCTCTCTAAACGAGACACATTGAGTTCTTCATCTTCATCTTCATCTTCTTGTTCTCTAAGAAATTCGACCTCAAATTTTATGAAAAATTGATCGTAGGATGTTGGTTCAACACTGCTTGTGTCAAGACTTTCATCTTGGTGAGCATCACAATAATCATCTCCTGCATAATCCATTAGGAATTTTTTAAGTGGAATTTGTTTTAAGTTGATATATTGTATTGTGAGTTTTAGAGTATTATATATAATTTTTTTAAAACTAATGGAGTATCCTGACGTACTAGAAAACATTTAAAATTTGTTTTTAAGTGGGAAAAGGATTAAGGTGATATCCTAAAAGTATAAGGAAAGCTATTAGAGTGGGTTAGGAAAATATTAAGGTTGGTTTTAATTTGGAATGATAATAATGAATTTTCTTTTTATGGCTTTAATATGGAAAAATATTAATATACTATTTCTAGTCTATATTAAGTGAATCAGTGAGACAATACATACCTAAAAATAATTTAGGATATAAATTGAATATCATTTTCCATTTTTGTTCTTTTAGTTATTCTTATACTATTCTTGAAAATAAAAATAATTCAAAGTAAAATCATAAATATAAGCAATTAAGTCTCTTGAACTTATCATCTAGACAATATAAATGAATGACAAAAATGGACAAAAGTTCAAACATTTATCTTAAATTTTAAAAGAGTAATGATTAGGAAACATTTTAAGTAATATTTTGATTACATTGAAATTTGAATGATTATTGTTACAAAAGAATTGTTTAGTAACTTACATCAATATGAGGTAATGTAGAGGATTTTTTTAAATTTGTCCTTCATATCAAAGATATTATTTTTACACATTAAAAAAATATGAAAAAATAATCATATTCTTCAACTCAAATTGTTAGTAGTCATAGGTTATTTCCTCCTTGTGTTAAGAAACTTTGATGAAATAAAGCTAAAATTGAGAAATTTGTTAATAGTTATAGGAGGTCATTTCCTCTCTGTGTTAAGATTTTGATGCATTAAAGCTAAGATTGAGAATAAGGGCTTGTTTGAATATGTGATATGGAATCATAATTTGAAATGAGATCAATTTTAATTGAAATTGAAAGTTTTATTTTAACATGCAATGTGAACTTTTCAAATTGTATTATTATTATTATTTTTCATAAACATAAAACCACACAAAGTTGTGAAAATTAGCCAAAAATTTTCAAATTCTTATACAATCTTACAAAATAAGCAAATCATAATTCAAAGGCCCTGCATCAATTAACCGCATACCTTTATATTCTTTTTATAAGTAAAAATGTGTGATTACAAGCTTTCAAATACACATAATTTTATAAATATCTCTTCACACTAAACATAATTTTTATTTTTTCTGAAATCTGAAATAAAGGATTTTCTTTTTACAATATAAATTTCAGTCAAGTTTTACATTTTAAAAAATAAATAAAAATGGAACCATAATTTGGATGCTTTTTAGAGAATTTGGAATATGAATCATAATTTTATATCACCATGTCCAAATGTTGATTTGAATCATAATATTAAATTGCATGTCCAAAAAAAGGCTAAGAAACTATCTAACTTGGCTGAACAGTTGCGTAAGTTGAGCTAAAACGAGCCCAGATGTTGATATAGGCAAAGAACAGGACATAAATATGAAATTCTTGTTATAAGCAAAGCTGACCCCAAGCAAACACACAAAGCCCCACTAGATTTTACAAAATTGATAACTAAACAAAAAGGAAGATCGGAAAGAAACAGCAGACATAAAAACACGGCCAACGCGAATGACATGGTTGGGGTTCATGAGCTGTTATGGGCACACAACACAAACTACTGCTGCTTGCACTCGGGAGGACGTTCTCCAGCTTGTGCTTTGGCACTCTTCTGCAATTTTGTCAAATAATTACACATCACATGCTCAAGAAAATGAAAGGAAATTTACATTATCACCTAAAAGAAATGATGCATCAAAGCAATTCCTTCATATAACCTTTACTGTTGAAGACTACTAGGGCAATCGAATAAACCATTCGGGATAGACACAAAAGAAAAAGAAAATAAAATCAGCATCACCAGAAAAACAAGAGGAAAATATGAATTACTTTGTAGAAGCAAGCTAAACAAATAATACCTTCTTTTTGCTCTTCTCTTCATCTTCATCATCATCATCATCATCATCATCATCATCATCATCCTCTTCTTTGTCCTCATCTTCGTCTTCATCATCACCTTCAATATCTTCAAATTCATCCCCCTCAGCAGCCTCACCAGTAAACCATGACACAGCATGGGGGATTATTTTATCTCGGATTGTCGAGCTGCAAACATGGAAGTCCCAAATGGAAACGTCAGACACTCTTTCAGTGTAACACATAGAAAACATAGCACCATAGAATTCTAGAACATGTAGAAGTTATTGGGACACCAAGTTGTAACGAATTCTTAAGGTAAAGGAGAAAGGTGGAAGTAGCGACAGACCCAATATCATAATCTTGTTCCATTAGATTTTGCAGGTCTTCAGCCTGACAAGACAGTAATTACCAAATAAGATCAAGAACATTCTGCATTACATAGTAAACGAACAAAATCAAAGTTGTTGAACCTACCGCATCTTCATCTATATCATCATCATCATCTTCAGGTACTTGGGGTGGATTAAAGAAATTGAAAAAGCTCTCACAGCTTTCAGTCTTAATTACGAATTTAGCATTCTTTGACCCTTTCTTTGGCTTCCTTTTTAGGATCTTCTGTGTCAAGCATTTACCGGGATACCATTCAATGTTGGTCCTGCAAGACATCTCACATCAAATAAACAAACAAAAATAGGATAACAGTATGTAAAACCAGAACATAGAGAAGTTAGAACTTACCCTATGGCCTTCTCCAATATGGGATCATCATCATCATCAATCATGTGATAGGTTTTAGTCAAGACAGAATTCTTGAAGAAAGGGTTTGTATCGAAGAAGAATTCAAGCTTAAAGCCCTTTCGATCATCAAGCTTGCACCACTTGATATCCTTGAGGTACTTCAAGGCTTCTTCATCACGCTCAGAGATCTACAGCAGTCATTTGCGATCAGTTAAAAGACCAATAATTCAGACCAAGAAATATTTGTATCATTATTATTATCATCATTATTATTATTATTTACCTCCTCTGCCAATATCTCGTTAGTCTTCATTGCAGTCAGCCAAAAGTTGGGAACACCTTTCTCTGGCACCAAATTAACAGCATAAAAAATTAAAGTCTGTGTCAAGATCACTCTGCATGGATGAAAGAAATGCAATAAATAGTTTACCATTTTCAGTCTCATTATCCTCGCCCTGGATCATGGGAGCTTCATCAACACCATCCACTTCGACAACCCCATTTACTATTTCATATCTCTGCAACACATCCATAAAACAGCCAAACCATAACTCATTTCCTTTCTCTCTTTTTTTGGGGGGGTGGGGGTGGGTTAGGGAGGAGCGGGAGAGCTAATTTCAACTGCAACCATGGACAGAGTTATTCTTCTCACCTTTGAATACAATGGTTCATACAGCTTTTGGTATTTAGATTCTAGTGCAGCCCTCTCCTCGAAAAACTTTGCTTCCAGCTCATCATGTTGGCTCTATATTTAGATAAAATCATGTTAAGGTTTTTTCTTCCATTTAGAGGGAGCAATCGGAAATATGCCAGCCTCATATAAAAAGCTAATCTAATCCACATATAAAAAAAATGGTAGGAGAAAAGAGAATGGTCACCGCAAAATGCAAATTAATCATTAGGTTAATAATCTGTTTCTCTGTGACCATATTTCCCAAATTTTAAGCCTTATTGGGGAAAGAAAATAGGCATGGCCGAATAAGAGGCCATGCCATCACAAAACATAGCAAATTTATCTGCAATATGCGCGTCTTTCTAGATGGGCACAATTTATACCAAGTTATATTATGTAAATAAAGGATAACCAGTTGCAACAGGGCACAGTCACCAAAACCATGATCATATTCATCTGTTAGTCTGTCTTCCTCCCATATAACTGTAGATGAATATCAGGCATGACTAGTAGCACACCATGATCTTCACTGTTATCTGTCATAAGGACATCCCTAACAGCCTGCTATTATGTTAAAACAATGAATTAATAGCTAGATGGTTTAAGAAATTTAAAGTGAATATTCATTAAGACCAAGTGTGATATTAAGTCAAAGCAATCTTTTCCTCACTCTGGATCATATAAAACAAAATTGTCTAGACACAGGCTTCTGACGAGTGTGACCTTTTTGAAGTACTCAATGTTTTAAGGACCTAAATATGGTTACTAAAAGAACTACACTGCCATCACATATATATCCCAAGTGATATATATATATACACACACACACACACATATTCAGATTCTTTTGAAACAAGATTAACGGTGCATTGTTAAAAAAAATTATAAGTAGAATAACAATGCATTATCCCCACAGTGAAAATACTTTCAAGGTCTTATAATTTAAGGTATGATTTTGCTCGAATCTTCTTCTTTAATTTTCCCCCATCTTCTTCTTGAATTTCCTTAGTTGCTGTTGGAAACCAGGAGTGACATCGGATATGTCCAGGTTGGAAATATGTTAAACAAAAATGGATAAAATATTTGACCTACCCATATTTAACAAAGATAAAAAATGGGTCAAGGTTAACTGACATATAATATGGATAGTTTCAGGAATAGTTAGGTGAGAACACAAGCTAAAAGTCAAATAAGCTTAGACTCCAAGAAAGTAAGAACTCAAGAAATATTAAAGCAGACAAATGGGTATTGATAATATGGATATCCATATTATCCATCTGGATATCGATTTTTAGTGGAAAATACGAATAGTATCCATATTTGATCCATTTTTACTTAGTCAGTTATCCAACTCATATTTAATGCGTTGGATTGGACGGTTACTTGTATATTTAACCATTTTGTCAGCCCTTCCGGAAACTGTTAACTGATTCAGGTGTCTGCTTATTGCTTTAGGTCCTTAACTTAATCAAGCCTATTGCGGCTGTGAGAAAGCTGTTTGTCACGCTTAGTTTGTCTTCGGATTTGCCAGAAGTTGCTTTTGGAGATGAAAAACAGCTTATGCAAATTCTTTTAAATGTTGTTGGCAATGCTCTAAAATTCTCAAAAGAAGGCAGTGTGACAGTTTCTGCGGTTGCTGCAAAATCAGATAATTCAATAGATCCTAGAGCTCTAGAGTCTTTTCCTGTGAAAAGTGAGGATCACTTCTATTTATGTGTACATGTATGTTTACAGGTTTATTTTAATGCTTGATATTTAGTATTTCCAGTATAAATGGTAGTTGCTCTGTAATTCATTTTGGGTAGTGATTGTTGTTGTTGGTTTTACTGCTACTTTTCCGTGGTACTTGGGTAAAAGATACAGAATCAGGCATTAATCCTCAGGATATCCCAAGTTGTTCTGTAAATTTGCACAAAACCAGACACTAACAATTAAAAATTCTGGTGGCACTGGACTTGGCCTTGCAATTTGTAAGAGGTATCTCACTTCACTGGTGTTAGTTTTGAATGTGGCTTTCAGTTTGCTATGATAATTGAGAACTGCTCTAGATTGAGTTCTTTGTGTTTTTGGGCTGATGCACATTTCTTGGAAATTTTATTTATGGGATGTTGAGGCACTTAACAACAGTGGTCATACATCTGATGTTGGCCTGAATCAGGTTTGTTAATCTCACGGAAGGACACATTTGGATTGAAAGTGAAGGTCTCGGAAAGGGGTCTACTGCTATCCTTATTGTTAAACTTGGCATTCCTGGCACATGCAGATGACTTTTCAAGGACCAAAGGTCTTGGTTATGGATGATAATGGATGAGTGCTCATACTACCTCTTATCTTTAGACCTCTTATTTGTCCTGCATTTTCTGTCCAATAAATCTTTTTCTACTGTACGTTGGTCTATTCTACGTGAGACTGGACATTTACAAGCTGACAAAAGTGGTATTTGTTGGACATCACTTTGGAACAAGGACCCTGACCATCTATTAAATGTCTATGGAAGTTAGAGTCTAATAACTTCATGTATGGTGGAATGTTCTAAAACTTAAATATATTAGGAGTATAATCTAGATGATGAGCATCCGAAGGGTAGCGATTGCGAGTTCTCTTGTCATGAAAAAGAAGTCCAAGGTAGGGACGGTAAAAACAAGAGACTATTTTTCCTAAATAGTTCATTTAACTATTTCTTGCAAAGATCATAATCATTTGGTTCTGGTTCCACTAACGCTCAGACAAGATAGAAGAAAGGAAGCACATAGTCAGTATCTATTGTGGATATTTTTTTAGCTTATAGTTGGTTTACGGCACGTGCTAGCACGGGCCATACCCTATCTAGTAAAGAGAGAAAGGAGTTCAACCAATTTGGTGGAAAAAACTCTACAGATAATAACAAAAGCCTATATGACACTCCTAACTTCTTTCCCGGTGCCACTATACAACATGGAACATAAAAACTTTAAACTTCCAAAAACACAATTTGTTCTCCTAAAATAGTACCTCAAAACCTTCAGATATCACTCACATTCCTCTCTATATTTATCAACCTAGACATTATATTCAAACTATAGATTGAATTACAAAGCAGCTTTAACTCAATCGTTCACATACAAAACAAAACAGATTAATCAGTCCTACTATACCATCAAATACCAAATTAAAAACATAGAAAAACAAAAAAAACATGAACATCTTAGCGATGAATAAAAGCACCTGAAGCTCTCTTAGAACATCTACACGCTTCCTAACTGGTGGCGTCAAAGTCTCGAGTATATCCGTATGCTTCCCAGCCAAATTCTGAAGCTTATCCTACAAATTCCACAAAAAGAAACAAAGATGAAAACATGTAGCATTTAGATAGAAAACAAGTGGAACCAAAATATTATTAACCAAACCTTGAGCGCGTTGACTAAGCCAGCACGATCCTCGGCACTCAAAGCTACACAGAAACAACCATAAAATCAATGGAAATAATTTTAATTCATCAATAAAAACAAATGATTAGGGATTTTACCGGCGGCAGCGGCGGGGAGGGAACCACCGAGATCGGACATGTCGAACCGATCTTTATTGGAATTATTACTCATGGTGGACGGATTAGAAATCCGTGCTGGTTTTGAAACGACAGAAGTGAAAAGGAGGGAACTGGTAAAGGGTTTTGGGTGCGAGCAGTTTTTTTTATGGTATATATTCAAATTTATAAAGCCACCTTCGGCGGTGCCGCTCGTGCGTGTTCGAGAAAAAGGCAATAAATCAAATCGAATTGAAAAATAAAATAAAACTATCGTATAAACACGAAAAATATGTTCTGTCAAATATGAACAAGTCAAAAATGAATTAACATAAAATAAGTAATAATCTACTCTAAAATCTCACTAAATCAATATAGGTGAGATCATAAATATTATTATTTTGTAAAGATATTATTTAATGTCTTTTTGTGAAAACATCATTCATGAACTTGAGGTCATTATTAATGATCTTGGTTACAAAAAAAATAAATTGACGTCAATAACCTTAAAGATTAACCGGATGAAAGTGATACATGTTTAGAGGTCCATTATTTAAGAGAAATTGTGGATACCATCGAATAAAAACAATGCTCATGATGAAGTTGAAGATAATACAATACTTTTGCAGTTAGTTACGCGTAAGAAAACACTTATCGCATCTAGAACTCTTCACAGTTTTATGGTGCATTCGAAAAGACAACTCCATAACTTTTGCTGCAAATAAGAACAGTTAGGGATCAACTTCAACTATTTAAATTTTAACAAAGAAACACAAAACACAATAGAATCATTTTACTAAGTTGTCTTAGATATATTTGTGCTTTTAAAATAATTATTACTTATAATATTGATGGGACCATATATTTATATAGGGATCTTCTGGAAATATATTATCGTATTAAAATGAATGATTTTTTCCATTAGTCCAAATTGAGTAAAAAATATATATAAATATATTATCGTAGGGAGATTATTAGTTTACCAAATATTAATTCAGTGAGATTGTATTGTAATCCGTTTAATATAAGTGCAAGTAGTTTGGATGACATAATGGATTGCCCTATATAATGGTGCTTTACTTTAAAATTTAATATTTAGATGAAACTAATAATCTGATAATTAATTGGAAAAATTATATGAAATAATAAACTATTAATTTAAATTAAATGCTATAGCCATAATTTATTTTATTTGTAATTCGCAATAAATATTCCATTTTCTTGTCATTTGATTCGGTATATAATTAGTCATTTTTGATATACAATTACCCATTCGGTATACAAATGTATAAAGTGCGTTTGTGTTTGTATAAAACGAGAGAAAAATGTATATACAAATACAAATACATATATTTTCGTTCTATACACTTATAATTATACAAATACAGATCTTATTATACAAATTACAATGTATTTAGTGAATTATACAAATCAAAAGCTCCATTGCAAACATAAAATTTATTATGAAGTGCAATTATACAAATTATAATTATAACATACAAATATGACTTTTATATTTGCTAAATGTGAAATTGCTCTAATTAATTTGTAAGAAATATTATACAGTATACACTAATTTTCGTAAATCACACTGCTGAGATTATGATGAATATTTAATTAAATTTTATTCTAAAAAAATGTAATCGAACCCAACCTATAAGAAGTCCGACTCGGCGGCAACTTCCCCGTCTCCACAGTAAGAAAAGGGCAAAGCAGCTAGGGTTTTTGCAATTACAGGCACTCTCGGCCTTCCGTTACTCTCCTCAGTATTCAGTTTCGTCTAAATTCACAAGCTAGCTACACCTCTGGTATTTGCCAAGGTTTTGTTAGGGTTTCTTCTTTTCTCCCTTTAGGGTTTAGACGAAAAACTGCGGAACCACAGGTAAAAAGAAAATATAGGGTGTAGTTGGAAATAATCTCGTATTCATTTGCAGGTATCTTCATAGTTAGAGAAAGAATAGGAACCAAATGGATTATGTAGCTGAACAAAATGTCTCAGAAGAGCAGGAACGAAACGATGGTAGTGCAGGACATGAATTAAAGCATTCACTCGATGATTCTTCTGCAGGGTTAGTTTGTAGTTAGTAGTTTATAGCTTATAGTTTGGGTCTTTAGGTTTTAGATAATGGCAAACCCCCCTTCCTGCATGAGGCCATGCCGAAATTATTGTAACTGCTGGTTTTGCTTGTTGATAGAAAGCTTTTCGTCGGAGGCATTGCTTGGGAGACCAGAGAAGGTACTCATGCTGTTAATTTTCCATACTACTTATTTGCTGTTTTAATGTCCCTTTCACCTGTTTTAGCAGTCTGTTTTTTGGTGGGTTGTTTTAACATATACTTGGTGTATACAAGTATTATAGCTTTTCATTTATACATGAATCAATGATAATTTTGAAGACAAATATTAGTTGATTTCCTAGTATAGCTGTATAGCAGTCCTACTTATAGGAAAATTTCCATCTTACATGGAAGTTAGTATTTTAATTACAAACAACAACATGCCCTGTGAAATCCACGCGAAGGTAGAGTGTACACAAACCTTATATAAGTTGTTTCCAATGGACCTTCATCTCAGGTGCAACAAATCAAAGTAGTTATGAAAAGAAAAAACGATAGTAAAGAAAACATAACAATCATTAAGAAAAACAGTGTAGAGCATTCAAGAAAGGAACATTAACAACAACAAAATTGCGCGATAATTGATACACAATAAACAACAAACAGTGATAGATATGAAAATCAAGGAACTACAAGAATAAGGCTAACATGACAAATACCAACAAGCCTAAATTTGTTGAAAAGCAAGACAACACTCTACTACCAACTAAGTACTAACCTTGTATCCTAATTATCGACCTCCACACCCTCCTATCTACATATGTCCAAACCATCTCAGCGTCACTTCCCTTATCTTGTCCACCACGGATGCTACTCCCACCTTGTCATGGTATCTTCATTTCTAATTTTTTGCTCCTTGCCTGCTCATACCTCCATCAGACCATCACAACATCCTCATTTCCCCAACTTGCATTTTTTGAACACGAGAGTTTTTGACTGGCCAACACTCCCTTATACAACAAAGTTGATCTGGCCACCACTCTGTAAAATTTACTTATTTTTGTCACAAAAGACTCTAGAGGCAAACCTTCATTCATCCACGCTGCACCAATACGATGTGTGACATCAATGTCGATTTCCCTCATTGGATTAAAGATCCAAGATATTTAATATATAAAATTTTAGGTCTTCATTTCATAATTTTATTTCTTGAGCATTTTCTTGCCCAACAAATATGAAATGTTGGACTTTTTTGAATCTTATAACTCATAACCATCTTGGCTTACTGATTTATTCACAATGAAGTCATGCTCACACATTTAGCTCCATCACTAGGTGTAGTTCCATGGTTTGTTAAATTTGGTGTGCATTGGTTCGTTTTTTCAAAAAAGGAGTAACAAAGTGTGTTGTGGTTCTTCTCCAAGAGAAATTTCTTTCTGAATGCATGACACAAATTGGTATTCTATGGAGGAAGTCCCCCCTACATTGATGGTCTTCTTTTTTCACCATATATCAACCATAATGGAGGTTATAGTATCACTACACATGGGTGAGGGCGGTCAACTTGGTGTGGGAGAAGTGTGAGTGAAGTTTGATCTTGTGGTGTATTCTTGAGTACCTCTGCAGGATAGACATCAGAAACAACAACATACCCATTGTAATTTAGAAGTTGGGTCTGGGTGGTGTGAACCCAGACCTTACCCTCCTTGTGAAAGTAGAGATGTTGTTTCCGAAAGACCCTCGGTTCAAGTAAAGCAATTCCAAGTAGGTTTGACAAGGAAATACACAGTAGTGTATAGAATAGACCTCAATAGAAAAGTAGAAAACACTGCAACCTTTGAGTCATGCTTCTTTGACATGAAAATTCTGCTTTGTTTGAGCTTTCTTGTAACTATTTGCGAGTTCATTACTCCTTTCTTATTGGCCTGTCTTTTTCTGCTTTGGGTGAATCTTTGTATTTTTAAATAGACAAACAATTATATTGTTGTATAAATGCACTTCCAACTGGTGTATGTTAGTTAATGCATATGTATCCAGTTTGTCTATACTCTGTACTCTTATATCCTATTCTCAGCTCTATGCTTAATTTGTACATGTTATTTTTGCAGAATCTTTTAGAAAGTATTTCAGCAGATTTGGAGAGATAACAGATTGTGTAATAATGATGGATAAGGTCTCTGGAAGGCCACGGGGATTCGGCATTGTAACATTTGCGGACCCAAAAGTTGCAAATAAAGTTTTAGAGGAAGAGCACATCATAGACGGTAGAACGATAGGATTTATGTGTGGGAGTATCTTGTACTGTCATATTTTATCTGGTTTATTATCCTCCTTTATGGAAGTTTATGTGTTTAGTAAATATAATGCAATTTGTGTATCAGGTGGAAGTGAAGAAGACAGTACCTAAGGAGGACATGCAAGTTAAAGGATCTCCGAAAACAAAGAAAATTTTTGTCAGCGGTCTTCCATTAACTTTAACTGAAGGTATAATCAAAGACGACTTCTTATTATCTACGATCTAAAAGAGATGTTTTAATCCAGTGATTCATTGTAGATGAGTTGAAGGAATATTTTTCTTCTTATGGCCATGTTCTGGAGCAACAAATCATGCTGGATCGTGAGAGTGGTCGGTCCCGAGGCTTTGGCTTCATTACTTTTGATAGTGAAAATGTCGTTGAAAAAGTTTTAAACAATGGCCGTATGCATGAAATCCATGGCAAACAAGTAAGTTATGCGGACTCTGTGCTAATCATGATTGTGTTTCTCTCTCTGGTGCTTATGTTAAATGAAATGCATACAGCTCTTTGACATTTTGATATTTTCAGGTTGAAATTAAGAGGGCTGAGCCAAAAAGAGCTGGTGCTGAAAATGCAATTGAAAGCAGGCAGCATCGTGGTGGCAGTGGTTCGAGATCGTATAATAACTTTGGTGGGTCTGAAGAAGGGTATGGTGGTGGATACGGTAGAGGGTATGGTGGATATGGAGGCTATGGAGGTGGCATTGGTTATGGTGGTGGCGGCGGTGCCGCTGGTTATGGCGGTGCTGGAGCTGGCGCTGGCTATGGTGGTTATGGAAACATTGGAGGAAGTTATGGCGGAGGTGGTGCAGGATATTTCTCTGGATATGGTGGATATGGTTATGGATTTGGGTTTAATGGACCTATTTATGGGGCAGTTGGATACAGAGACACTAGCTATGGTGCTCCTGGTAGCTATGGTGGTGCTGCTGGGTATGCTAGCGGTAGAGGATACACAAGCAGTGATGATGGTAGCTGGTATGGTGGGGCTAGAAGCTCTGCATCTTTCAATGCTAAAGGGTATGACACCGGGGGTAGCACTGGAGGTGCTAAAGCATATGGTAATGGTGGTGCTGCAGGTGGAAGGTTTCATCCTTACAGGAATTGAGACCTTCCTGACGAGTCTAATGTTGCAATTGTTTTGACTACTCTTGGTTGGCTCAAGCTAAATGTAAAATCTTTTGCTGCTGAGTTTGTTTTCTTTGGGGTTGATGATTCAGTTAGATGTAACCTGCTTATTTTTTTTGAGTAAACCATCTGTAGATTGTATGTATTAGCATACTGATCTGCGTGAACTGTAACCTCACTGTCTCTTGGCTTAAGTTATTTTACCCTTTATGTTAAGGTAAGGGAAGAAGTTACAAACTTTGTAGTACTGCCGTACAACTCTGAAATTTGGATGATACGGTTGCTTTTACCTACAGGGACGATTGATAGTTGGTAAATTAGATATGTACCATAGATTCCGAATATTTTTCATTTTATTTGAAATTAATGAAGTTGATGTTGAAGGTGGAGTTGCACGCTTGTTAATATTTTTTGCTGAAGAGATGATAAAGCCCTTTTCTCATGTTTGGTGCATTTTATCGACTTGAAATTTAAGATGAAGTTGGTAAACAAGTTTGGAGTAGTTTTTCAAATTTGAAATTCAACTTCAAGTTAGAATTAGAAATTTTCATGGTCATGATTTTTAAATAAAGTGAAACATAATTTGGGTAGTCTGTTTTTAAGTTGCGTTGAAGTTTACAAAGTTGTTTGGTAGTTGATTTGGAGATGTGACATCTGAATATTCATAAATCACATTTAATAGTTGATTGGAGGTATTTGTGAAGAGAAGGAATAACTAATTGTGGGATTAATTTTATCATGAGATTATTTCATGTTTGATTGAAATAAAATTATTGAATAAATCTTAGGAATAGTTAATTTGGGATTATAACACTTTATCTCTCATGGAAGGTGGATAACAATTCTGATAGTAACTAATTTTAGAATAATAACTGGTTTACCCTCGAAACCAGGTATAAAATTTGTAAATCCTATATTCGGGAATATTGAAATTCAGTATTTAAGGCGAAACATGGATCATTAGGCAAGTTTAGTGAGGCCTCGAAAGAGATAGCAAAATGACAAAAGTGTGTCAATAGGCAGAATAGCAAAAGGCATTAATGGCTTAAACCCAATTGCAGTTTCGACATCCTCCTATCCACTTGCACTGTTCAGTTCATCATCGGAAGCCATGGCAATGTGCTCAACATTTTATCCCCGGCTATCCACTCACCTAAATTGCAAATCCTTCTCATTTTTTCCAGTTAAACATCGTTTTTTGGTTTCAATCAAGGCCTTCTCTTCTCAAACTTTTGCTCCCAAAGGTACATTCTCTTTTTTTCCCTTCAATTTTCACTACAACTAAGTGCTTCTGTTTGTCCTTTTGTAAAATTGTTCTCCGTTCGTACACCTCGACTAATTTCACGGGATAGTTACCAGGTAAACTCTGTCCACCAAGGCCAGACATGAGAGTTCTCTCTTATCGCTTGAAATTGTGATTTAAGTTGTCTATTGCTCACCAATACTTAAAATTCAATTAATAGGGCTATCGGCTACACTGTCTGCTACTACCGGCTGTCTATTACGAAAAAATCTTAATATTTTGCAATTTTACAGTACTGTAATGTATAGTTTGGCACCATCAGCTAGTAGCAATAGAAATTTTTCAAGGCATTTGTCTTGATCCGTTCACCTGAAAGCAAGAAGAAAGTATCATGGCAGCATGACATCATGTGAAAATTGAAATTAGTATGAAATTATTGATTAACAAAAAAACCTGATTTCCTCTTTTATGGTGTCATTTTGTGTCGAGTTATACCTCTTTCGGATGTTATTTTACTACTGACAAAAAAATTAGGTGTTTATTTTGTCTGATAAAGTTTTAGTTTTCTGCAGCTGATGATCTTCCAGCAAGTATTGGCTTTCTAGGTCTTGGAATTATGGGCAACCCAATGGCACAAAATCTCATAAAAGCAGGGTATATTCCAATTATTACTTTGATACACTAATTTGATGGATTTCAATGAGATTTTGCTTTGTGAACTTCATAAATCAATGGACAGCATGTAGTTAACTTTATACTCATCATTGTTAGCGTTCTTTGTTAACCAACTGAATTATGAGTACTCTAAACTGTTCATCTTTCAGTAGTACACATTGTTAATACCAATGATGTGTAGTCTGACGAAGTGGTCTTGTTGGAGCAATGAGACATTATTTTTATACTTAAACACCTCTTTCTGAATAATCAACTTTCAATCTCTTACAATTTTATTGTGTTTGTTCTCATGTTGCAGATGTGATGTGACAGTTTGGAATAGGACCAAGAGCAAATGTGAACCCCTTATCTCCATGGGTGCAAAGTAAGTATATGCCAATTTTGGTTTATGCTGCAGACTTATGTTTGTTTATGTTGGTATCCAGGAAATGTGGGTTTAAACTTATAAGATAACCCAACAGTGAAGTACTCAATGATAATCTATGCTAATAATCAACATCAAGAAAACGAAAGATCTATGTAAATGCTTGTATGATATCACTTAAAGTTTTCTCAACTGTTATTACTGCTTGTACTTGAAGATAGTTTGCATTTCAAAGTAAGTTGAGGTTATTTTCTGCAGATACAAGTCCTCCCCTGAGGAGGTTGCAGCATCTTGTGATGTCACATTTGCCATGCTTGCAGACCCTGAGAGTGCAGTGAGTTTAAAGTTTATTTAAGTGCAATTTCTGATCTTTATGTATATTGACATGTCTAGTAAGCTGTAAGCATATAGAAAGTATCACCTTATTTTTCTAGGCGGATGTTGCTTGTGGAAAATATGGAGCTGCAAAAGGAATGGGTCCAGGAAAAGGGTATGGTTTACTTTCTCTCTAAAAATTTAAAGGTTTGGACTTCTCAATTGTTCTTTTTAGCACTGAGTAACAGGTAAAGAATTCTAGTTAGTGTACTGTTAGTTATATGATTCAGTTTAAAAGTGATTCTAGTCAAGAGTGCAGCAAATGCTTTGTTGGTTTTTTTGATTTGAAAATGAATTTTCTTCTTCATGCTGCTTATTGTGTTAGATGTCTGTCTTTTATATCTGGAAACATGAGGTTTATGATTGTTCATGATGCAAGAAATTGGAATGAAAAGAAATCCAAAGTTGCCGTCCTTTAGGAGGAACTAATTATAAGTTACACCTTCATGGCAGATTTTAAGTCAATTTTTTATATAATCTGTTTTTTTTGGTACTGCAACTATTATTTCAGTTTTAACAAACTGTCATATGTTAAACTGGTGATTACATCATTCTAGTTATTTAAGAATTTGTTAGAGCAGCATTTTCTGAACGCAAGTTTCTTTGGTTGCTTTTTTTATGGCTCTTTCATACAACTCTCTGAAATTTATTTATGCCTTTTTACTCTGTATGGGTAAATGCAGTTATGTAGATGTCTCAACAGTTGATGGGGAAACATCTAAACTGTTCTGTGAACATATTAGGGCTACTGGAGCTCATTTTTTGGAGGTGAATAGTTCCCTCTCTGTCATGAATTCCTTATATGAAAGCTTTACTTCAGTTTTACGGCCCCACCTTTCCCCCAGATCAAAGAAAAGCCAAACAACAATAAAATATTGTCTTGTGTGCGTTACCATGTTGAATAATGTTCCATTTTCTCGAACAGGCACCAGTATCAGGGTCCAAGAAGCCAGCAGAAGATGGACAACTAATATTTCTCACTGCAGGTGAAGCTTTTCCCTTCAATGTATTTGAGTCATTGACTATGAAACCTGCATTAGTTAGATACTGTTACATGTTTTTAATATATTTAACTTCTCTTGTTGTTACACTTTTAAGTTCATTGTTAACCGATGATCGATCTATGCTCCATATCTAATTGCCGAAAAGTCTTCGCTTTTTTGTTTGTCTTGAAGAGGGAAGAGTAAATGAGATAGCTCAGTGATTACTAGAAAAATGAGGCAGTTCTCTCTACAAGCTAACCTCTCTCCAAAACCACCTTCTGACCATATAATAAATATGATACTAAGACAAAATAAAAAGATCTCAATTAAGGAAACTCTTGTTAAGTTGGGAAACAGAGTTAATGCGGAAAAGATATATAAAAGTGAAATAACAAGCATCTGAATGTCGCCTATGTAGAGCAATTGGTCATCAGAGGGATGAACTTTGGGTAGTGTATAAACCTATCTGTGGTGTTAACTGTATTTTTATTTGTGATTTCAATTGGAAGACAACACACCATAACATTATGTAAATCGATTGGGTAATATATTTCCAAGGGATGGGGGTAAACTGTGAGTTGTGTATAAACCTATGGGTAGTCATTCTTAAATTGTGATTCATAAGTCTAAATATAGATGCAACACTTAACTCTATCTCTCCCTTCGACCATCACCCAGAGAAGGTGTGCCCTGTATTGGGGACTGGATTTTTAACTCGTAGTTGACATTTTATGAAATGTACTAGTTTTAGAAAGATAAAAAAAGACGGGATTGTTACTATAAACTTAGAAGCATGACGACTGGTGTCTTACAAATTTAGGAAATTAGCAGTCACCCTTTCATTTATAATTAGTTTGTATTGCTCGAACTTTGTTTATAGGACAACCTATTTTTGACAAACAATTGACTTTTAATTTGTCCACATGATACTTTTACCTATGAAATGTATCCACAGACAAAACATGTATATCTCTAATTTTGACAAAAGTTGTTCAGTCAATTTCTTGTGACTATCAAAGAAAAAAGAATTTAATTAAAACCATGGATGCAAACTTTTCAGGTGACAGCGTGCTGTATGAAAAAGCTGCTCCTCTATTGGATATCATGGGGAAGGTCTCATTCTGCCTCTTCACTGAGTGTGATGCAACTCTTTCCACCTTCTAATATTTTGCCCTTTATATCAGTCAAGATTTTACCTTGGTGAAGTTGGTAATGGAGCTGCAATGAAACTTGTTGTCAATATGGTTATGGGAAGGTGTTGTTTTTTAATCCATTTTCATCTTTTCATAGTTTTCTTCTATCTAACTAAAACTAACGTCATCCTTCCTTTCACTAAAAAAATTTGCAGTATGATGGCTTCATTTGCTGAAGGATTAGTTCTCAGCGAGAAGGTTGGACTTGATCCAAGTGTATTAGTGGAGGTATTCCCTGATAAAAACAAATAGCTTATTTTGAGGTTGGCCTCTTGTG